AACCTCAGGTAATAGCACAAAAGGACATCGAAAATAATTTTCTTGCTTGTTTACCTAGGGGTCCACGTGCTACTAGATGGTTTGCACATTTCAATAGCATGTGTTGAAAGTTTTTAGAGATGCACTTGATTCCATGACAGAGGATCAGGTATGATGTTATATTGTTTTTCTTTACAAAATTATGCATATATTGTAGTTGAAACTCATGTATTTTTCTTTATGTAGTTTATTTGGGAACCATATTCGGATGACTTAATTGAGAGTCTTCCTGATTATTGTCGAATTGAACGAGACATATGGCGTGTAAGAGCTCCAATTTTTTGTTGGGATATCGTTGAGGTTCACTTGCCTGATCGAGTTATGAGACAATTTGGATTAAAACAAACGATACCAACTCCATTTCTATTTGATGCCACACATTTTCACCATGATCGTAAGGGCAGACGAAATACAAATTGGAACATGGAGCATGCACAAAGGTTGCCTCTTTGGAACCAACGACTTCAATATGTTTGTGATGCTCCGGTCAATCGTGAACCACTTTGATATGACGACCCTTACCTTATTTGGTTTAGATATATTACTCGTCTTGTTATTGGTAATCCTACTCAGCGTCCTCAACAACAAGAAGGTTATGTGCCCAATTCAACGACATATGAAACAATGGTATGTATTAGATTTAGTGTGTTTGTGATTTATCTTTTGAGGATAATATTGCTTCTTCTCGAAAATTGTGACTTGGAAAATTGTTACCTATGTGTGTGGTTAAATTAAGCTACATCTTAAATGGTTAAATTAAGCTACTGATTTGCACAGCTCTTTGTGCTGCAGTAATGTTGATCTAAAATTATCGGATTTTGAACACTTTCCATTCTAATGTTGTTGAAATTAATGTTGGATACTGTTCCAAATCCTCCTTGCCATGTCTTGATCCTAACACCATTGTCTGAATACTTAATAGTTGAATCTTCAACTGTAATGTTGGATACACATGCCCGGGAATTGCGAATGCCTAGACTGCCAATGCTGAAAATTATGCAAAGACAGAGTCTTTATATTCAAGATTTGGGAATAGGGAAATAAGAAAAACACAGAGTAGACATCTTGTTATGGGCTTAAAAGTGTTGTTCTATTTTATTTTTTGTAGTGGTAGGGCATACCTCTTTCACTCTAGCAGTTTTGTTAGTTAATGTGCCCTTTTTTTTAAGAATATGTTTGTGGTGCAAAATTAATTGTTTACTTTTTTGACATAAAAAGATGGTGTGATATTGCAGCATTTGAATATATACCTTATTGCATGAATAAAATTAGTGCTTTAGTTTGATCTTTGTTTGAGCATCTGTTAGAAAAAAGAATGGAAAATGTTTGTAAGAAAAAAAAATTGATCTTTGTGTAGGTGCGTCATATTCATTCCATGGTTTATAGAGCAAAAGACCTTGGTGATCAGCCATCAATGGAGGATTTATACATATTTCGTGCAATGGTCTGAAATGAAGGAGAAAAGTGCTTGACATATGTGCACGAGGCTGCTAGGATTAATGTACAAGCCGATTATAGAAGAGATGAGGTACATGATGATCATTTACATCATCCGGTTTGTAGGCGAGGAAAAGGTGGTGTTGCCGGTAGGAGGGCTCGTGCTGCTGAGATAGGACGGGCGCTTATTGAAATGGATGAATCAGTCTCCGAAGATGATCACACAACTTGTGATTTTGGTTCCATTTCAAGGGGCCAAACTCAAGAATTCACTCCCGGGGCATCAGGTATGACATATCAACCAACAAATACTAATATTGTTCCATACACGACATCACAAATATTAAGGAATTCTAGTCTTTCATCACTTGAGAATGTATTTGGTGGTTTTCGACCTCAACATTTTGAGAATGCCCCCAACTTTAATTCATCACCTGGGCTGCCAATGTCCATTTAGACCCCCTATGTTGTTAATCATTTAGAGGACTCCAACGATGAAGTGTAGAATGCAAACGAATATGGTGAACCATCAGTGAAGGAGAAGCGTAGGATTTTTCCTAAGCGTTGTGGGACTGGTACTATTAACATCTTTATTTTATTTTTTTAACATAAATACTCCTCTGTTTAGTCGAACAACTGAAAATTATTCTTGTTTGTCAGGGAGTCACTATCTTTACCAGCATGGCAAAAACAAAACAAGCAACGAGAAACAAAGAACTGTAATTGAAAGGTTTAGGTATCCAAATTTGGTACTCCTTGTTAAATTATTGTTTCTTCCATATTTTGGTAAAACAGAGTTGTTCCGAATCTGAAATGCTTCAATTGTTCCGAGTTGATTTAATGTTTGTGTTGTTTCATCTCTCGATAGATATTGAAAAATTGATTTGCGTCGAGTTTTAGCCTTTTGGAAAACTGAAATTATTTAGTTTTTCCAAGTTATTTGAATGCCTGCTTCGTTAGCCTTTTAGATATCTTGGAAATTGTTGCTTTTTGTGTGCTAGCAAATATAAGTTTTAGAATAAATATAAGTTTTAGAACCATTGTACTCTACTGTTGTTGTACATCAAGTTTCCATCCATACTGCTGCTGTACATCAAGTCTTCTACAAGACCTAGACAAGTACATAAATATTGGATTTCTACAAAGACTAACCAGAAACTTAATCTAGCCAGTCTGGGATGTCATCTATTCTAATTACAGTATCATTTTTATGCCAGCGAAACAAATTTTGTAATAAACTGTATTTTATAACAGGAATCAACTTCTCTTTCGCTTAAAACGTCTCTTGTTCCTTTGTTGCCAAACTGTCCAAATGATGCATAAAGGAATAAGCTTCGGTATCATCTTCATCCTTTTCTTCATATACCGTCCTTGCTAGCTGTTCAATAGATCCTTAATGAAGATTTCAAGTCCTAAAAATATTGAATTCCCATGTCTAACAAGCAGTTAACAGATGAAGATGTCCAAAGCTGGAGGAATTATGGTTTCAGTGTCAGTTCCCACTTTCTTGTAAGATGTTTAGATTCTCTGGTTTTGGCCTTTATCCATGTAAGGTTTATAAAATTTTGAGGTTCTAGGATCACCGATAAAGTTGTCTTTCTGTGACCTATAGGTCACGGATTCGAGCTTGGAAGCAACCCTTAATGCTTGGATTAGGTTAGGTTGTCTATTTACACCCCTTGAGGTTGAGTCATGAAGTAAAATATGCTTAGCTAAATCATTAAGTTCCATGAATTTGCCTTTTTCTTGTAGAAAAGAAGATGAAATTTCTTTTGTGATAAGTAAAAAATTAGAACACAATACTAATGCTTATCTTTTTCACAATTTACTACATACATACTATGCAATGGAAATCTGATGACACGACAAAGAGTAGCAAAAGTTATTTGGGCAGCCAAATGAACATCTGTAAATTCTGGAAGTATATAAAATGTCATGGAGAGAAATTGACTTAGAAGACCTACAGCCTTTTGGAATCAGTCCTTTTTTAGTTTGGAAGGTAGCTTGTATAAAAACAATTGTTCACAGGTTGCCTAATCGAAAAAATGCCAAGAAACAGAATTTTTGATACTGGTTCTAATAGTAATGGAAGTAAATGACCCACATAAGTGATACAAACTAGTCAGGAGGCTTAGTGTTGCTAATCTTATATTAAGTGAGTAGGAAAGAATGTGGGATTTAAAGGACCATCTCAAACTAGTCACAGGTTGTTTCTTCCATGTTTTGGTAAAACAGAGTTGTTCCGAATCTGAAATGCTTCAATTGTTCCGAGTTAATTTAATGTTTGTGTTGTTTCATCTCTCGATAGATATTGGAAAATTGATTTGCGTCGAGTTTTAGCCTTTTGGAAAACTGAAATTCTTTAGTTTTTCCAAGTTATATGAATGCTTGCGTCGTTAGCCTTTTAGATATCTTGGAAATATTTGCTTTTTGTGTGTTGTACATCAAGTTTCCATCCATACTGCTGCTGTACTCAACTGTATTTTACAACAGGAATCAACTTCTCTTTCCCTAAAACGTCTCTTGTTCCTTTGTGTACCAACTGCCTTTTTTTTTCTGGATCCATAGGTTCATTAAAATCTTTAGGAGGGGTTGAGTCATGAAGTAAAATATGCTTAGCTAAATCATTAAGTTCGACGAATTTGCCTTTTTCTTGCAGAAAAGAAGATAAAATTTCTTTTGTGATAAGTAAAAAATTAGAACACAATACTTATGCTTATCTTTTTCACAATTTACTACAAACATACTATGCAATGGAAATCTGATGACACGACAAAGAGTAGCAAAAGTTATTTGGGCAGCCAAATGAACATCTGTAAATTCTGGAAATATATAAAAATAATGAAACTCGGCGTGCTAGCTTATGCCACTGAGTTTGTGCTTTCAGTATAGATTGTGATTCTTGGTGAATGTAACTCATCAAAGTTTTCTTAATCATTTTTTCTTAGGTTGATGCAGCTTGTTGATATTCTGGATAACCCTTGGTGAATAGTAGAGATTTTTTGTGAAGAATGAAGCTACTAGTCATTATTTTGTAAAGCAACATGTTCTATGAATACATGAATGTTTCAATTATTTTCTATTTAGTTTGTGTTTTTCAATTCCTTAATGTAACTTCAAGATTGTGAAAAGTGATAGATAATTTTATGCACTAATATTCATGTCCATCTTCAAGTAGATAAGGTACCATTGAGACATACATATTCACCCACAAAAAGATTGTCACAGTTGAGGTTTGGATTCAAAGAACTGAATTTCTCTGCTTCAAATGACTTGATAGTACTATCACAAGTATCACCAGTATCTACATTATAACTGACCGTACAAGGAACAGCTTGAGATGCAACGTTATTAGATCCTGGAGTAAACAAAAACAAATAAAAAAATGGAATGTGAGTTTAGAGACGAAGGAATGATATTTATGTAACAAGTAGTAAAATTTATGCAATGAAATAAATAAATGTCCATACTAAGAATTCGTCGTACCATAGATGGAGTACCCAAAATGAGTAGAAAAGTAAGGATTAAGGCTAAGTTCAAGGAATTATTGCTAGCCTTGGCCATCATTAATTGAATAAAATGTAATTGATTTTAATTAAGCTTATTGAGTAGTGCTTAATACTTTGTTTGAGATCATGTGTATTTATAGGACCATACAAGAAACAATAATTAAAATCTAATTTAATTTGTTTGTGAAAAAAGTGGATTTTGTGTTGTTTATTTCCTTCTCAACATTTACTAATTAGGGGAATGTTGCCGACTATGTGTGTACTTGGTCAAAGTGAGGTAGAAACTACAAAGAGTTCATGATAAAAAAGGATGAGTTTAATTGATAACAAATTTACAAAAATCACATTAAATTTTAAGATACACTAATATTACGAATTTTATTAGATTTTATATATGTGTGTGTGTGTGTGTGTGTGTGTGTGTGTGTGTGTGGATATATTGAATCAAAATTAGATATAATTTATTCTAGATATAATGTATCTAAATGAAATATGAAATTTTGTTCGGGAATCACCAAGGTTGGCAGCTTGGGAATCACCAAGGTTGGCAACAAATATGAAATTTTGTTCAGCTGCAGATTCTAAGTTAGTAATCTGAGTTTGGAAATTAACATTAATAATTTTTCTTTATTAGCAATCTGGAAAAATTCACATTACATTAGATAACATAAAGAAAATTAACACCATTAGACATTGACCCACAATTATTCACTTAAATTTAATTGTGATTGGGACATTGACGCCTATCATGTCCTGTCTGCCTGCATAATCCACAAGCTCGCTCATACAGTGTAGAACTACGATCCATTTCATTATGTATTCTAGTTGTCCTTGGCCGATTAGGACGACGATAGAATTCATTACTTCTCATTGTAAAATTGGAGATGGCCAATATGACTCATGACCAATTGGTGAGAATGACCCAGAATATGTTGCAACATAATTCTCTATTGTGAAATGCTCGCTAACAAAATTTCTAGCTAGCCCTCCTATTCTATCAGTTACCTTCATGACATGTGAACACGGGAAGTGCAGATTAACTCATTTTCCACAATAACATTTTCTTTCATCTAGTGAAACACTATGAGAATTACCACCAGTACCATCAACTTGTATAGATCTAACCTCGTATACTCCTGTGGGTATATTCCAATCAAAAACAAAGTGCCTCTTTGAACTTTCATAATTCTTCTCCCACTTTATTTTGAACCTTCCGGTCCATAATTCATTTTGCTCTGCAAGTTGGTGTGCTATTTGAGACCTACGGTTATACCGTTCAATAGTTTGCTCCAATGAAAGTCTAATCATAGCAGTGACAGGTAAACCTCGTGCTTTTTTCAACACTCCATTGAATGATTCTGAAAGATTTGTTGTCAACAATCCCCATATTTTTCCATCATCATGGCTAACGGTCCATTTATTCAAGGGAATTTCCATGAGGTATGAATGTGCTTCGATATTTTCTTCTTTAATTTGCCACATCATGGACTCAAACTTCCTTACTTGATGGGCTGAAGCAGCCCTCCACATCAATCTGCTGAGGTCCTTGTTTGGAAATTTAGATTAAAAGTTGCTCCTAATATGTCTTATGCAAAATCGATGGAAGACTCGAGGCTCTTGAAACCGCCGCAACTCCTGCAAACTAATCAAGATTCCTTTTGCCCTATCAGATATAACACATACATTTTGTCTACTTTTTATCACATGTGCACTCAAATTTCTAAAAAACCATTTACATGCCTCTTTTGATTCTTTGTCTACAATAACAAACGCTAAAGGGAGAATGTTATCATTTCCATCAATTCCAAT